TCTTACATGAAAGCTTGAATAGAGTCACGAACGCAAAAAATCTTTCTAAAACTACTCCTCGACTGAGCCAACGAACTTCAGGGAAATAAGGGACATCAAAAAAAATTTTCGTCCAAATCTTGTAAAAACTGCCTGAACTGTCGGTGATTTAGTCTTCTACTCCTTATAAAATTTACTATTTTAGTTATAGGTAGCATGACATGGTCCATTTTTAAATGCTTGGATGCCAATGATTCCTGATGAATTATACAGGGAAATCCCACAAAATTCCCTGATGTTTTCTGTTTTAATTTAGTTACAACGCCCGAATGATTGCCACCCATGGCAGGAGCGCCATCCGTAGTTGTGCTGCTAAGTATATTCCAGTCGAAGATTTCGCTTGTTGCTAAGAAATGTCGTTACTGTCTATCTCTCTCGCTTGTCTAGGCACGCACTGCCCTTGAAATTACTTATAAATGCAGTGTGCACATTTTAAAACTTCCATAGAGGTATCGAGTGAAGTCTAAAAGCTCAAAAAAAAAAAACACGATTCTTCTTTCTGTAACATATCGCGGGCCGTATTGATACGAACCGGGGGCCGGATGCGGCCAGCGGGCCGTATCTTTGACATGACTGCGCTAAGGGTTCCAAACTTTGGAGCGCTCTCCTGACCTAACTATTAGGACCATATTTCCCAAATTATTGCTACCCCCTATATTTTGGGGATAGAAATTTTTTTTTCGGTGTACTGTACTGGGTTAAGAAGAATAAAACAATTAAAGAGTTAAGGAAATAGTTATAGGTCAATTTTTAGAGATATCATTATAAGTAATTTTTATACAATTATATTCACCAGTCAATTTTTCTAGTTCTAATCGTTCCCTGTATCATTTATTTAGACATACTGTTATCAGTAATTTTATTTTCAACTAATTGTTTCCAATTTCGTTAGTTTTCCAAGTTATTTTTTTGTATAGAATCATCTTTGTACAGAACTGTCTTTGGATAAATGAATTTTATAATGTGAATAAAATGAATTTTTTAATGTGCGTAAAAAGTTTTCAATTCACTTTTAAATTTCTCGAGATTGGCGAAAAAAGGAAAGAGTAAAATTAACATTAAGGGTTCTAAACATTGGAGAGCTCTCGCGGTCAAAATATTTGGACCATACTTTCCAGATTGCCTCTAGCCCCTATATTTAGGGGATCAGAAATCCAAATCCATTGAAAATAAAGGTATATTTATTCAGAGAACGTACGTTTTTTTGAGTTTGAGGTCACTCCTCAAACCATTATGATTGAGTCCTAGGACGTGAAGATCCGATTGTTGGATGAAAAGTTATTCAGGGATAGTCCGTTTATTTTTGTGCGCATTGTATGTAGATGTTGATATGTAGTCGCAATTCTCTGGATTTGATGAAAAACTATTAAAATCGCATGGGGAAAGGGATAATTTAAAGGCTGAGCTACAAGTAAGTCCAAATTGTAAGCTTCATTAGGTTGAAGAAAACTTCGCCTAATGTTTAAATTATCATCCACTCGATTTTTTTCCCTTTGAATTTATTGTTTAAAAAAAACAATCACGAAATTCTTACTTATATCTCTTAGTTGGATTCAAGTTTAAAACACTGTTTTTTCAATTGTTAAAAACAATTGAAAAAAAAGTTGGACGTCATTTCGAAAACTTCAAATTTGCGGGTTTAAGGATGACTCAAAGGATTAAGGCAAGTAAGGTTTTAGAAACTTCATACTTATGAGTTTAAAGACATGGAAAATTTGTGCTAAAAATCTCAAAAATTTGCGCTGAATATATTAAGTCGTGGTTTGAAAATCTTGAACTTTCACGAAGAGCATTTAAGTGATGTTCTCAAAAATTGAAATTTAAACGTTTAAGGAAATGTCAGCAGACATTTTGGAAACTTATGACTTTTAAGGCAGGATTTGTACTTTACATTTATTTACTATGCCAAATTTTTCTGGCGGTTAACAATTGTAAATAATGATTTGTTTTTTTTAAAAAGATCAGATTTTATCTAAGTCAACAATATATATATAAATTATATATTGTTTTTATTTATATAGCAGATTTTATATATATATACAAATTTATAGGAGAAGAAAAAAATATTCACAAATTTAAGATTATTTTTAAATTTAAAAAGAAAAAACGCAAAAAATAAAATAAAAATATGTGTAAACTTGTCATCAATTCACCTGATTACATCCGAAAAGAATAGTTCATTCTAATAATGTATTAATATAGCAAAAACAAAACATATCATTAGTGCACTATTTTTTCGGATATATTATTGTGAGTTGATGACGAGAGTTTATCTTTTCCTTATTTGATTTTATTTTGTGAAGGTCAGTCACTGAACTACCTTTCTGTTTAGAAGGTAATTTTATACATCTACTAAAAAAAAGCAATATTTCAATATTAATTGTGCATAAATAATAGAAACCATGCTGAAGTGACAAGATGGAACCCTCTGAAAGTATATTTTAACCACATTATTTAGATTTTGCGTTACTGCGCTTTTGTTTTTCATTATATTGCTGAAGTTAAGTCCCCATTTCAATAGTAGGAAGGGAATGATATACATGCATGTCCCTGAACATGTAAGGGAAGTGTGGAAAAAGCCTAATTAATAATCATTATAAAGTTGAGAATTTGCACTGGGATTAGAGCAATTTGGAATATTTAAAAATGGAATTATTATGAGAAAATTTTAATAATAACTTTAATCTTAATATATATAAGTAGTTTTTTTAAAAAAATATTAGTTCAAAGCATTGTTATTTAAAAAAAAACGTTTTCTCTTTGCAATAAAAGGTGTAAAATTGTATTTATTATTTTTTGACCTGCAAAGCTGCAATCTGAAAAATGAGCAGGGGCTCATTTTTCAACAGTTACTCAAATATACGAAATTTAGGCGTTTCAATCTATATCTATAATATTCATATTACATTTCAATCTAAATCTATCATCAATCTTCAAAAGTAAACCGACATTTCATTAATAGTCCTTTATAAGAATCACGAACATTTTAGTTGGTTCCGATCATTTTTGAACAGGCTCTCAGGAGTATCGTGGTGAAGATACGCGGGGAACGGCGTACCTCCACGTAGCATTGGTTTTTCGATAAAGCTCCATTTTCATCAGTTTTTAATTAAATGTATTTTTTTTTTGTAAAAATTAATTAATTGCTATACATTTATTCACTGTAAATTTTTTTTTTGTTCTTTTAAAGATTGTTAAAAGTTGAACTTTTTAGTATCGCATCATTTTTTGTTACTTCGGTACTTTTGATACATTATTTCCTCTTAGCCAATCGCCAAGAATCCATATAAGGAAAAATCTTACTTTATAAAGTCGTTATAATTTATAGAATTTTTAACACATGATGTGATTCGAAGCAGAAGTTTCTATAACATATTTGTGCGTTCTTAATATGTATAAATACAAACACAAAGAATAATAAATAAAAAAAATAGAAACACTTTTAATGGGTAATCGCAAAGGTCGTCATCAGGACAATCCTTTACGAAAAATACGATATTTCTAAATGAATAAAGAGAATAATTATTCTAAGATAAAGATTACTCCCAAATTCCTTCTAAACAGACCCCTGATATATATATATATATAACATGAACTGTAAGAATTTTCTTTGCTGAAAATTCACCACATCCTTCAGCTGGATCAATTTTTAAACCTTATACTATCAACAGGATACAAACATACACCCCAAGAAATAAAATATAAACATCATTGATTCGGTTCCACTAATTTATATTGTAGACTGATAATGAGTAAGCTCGTCCTTTCATGGTTAGTCAACTCGTCATCGGTCAACAACGTTTGGGCATGAGATCAACATTAAGAATGTTTTACTTTATTTCCATATTCCATTGTAAAATAATAGCCGGTGACAGGACAAAATTTTTGTGTCAACAAAGTGTTTTAAGAGCGATGTAAATTCCAATTCCCATCAAATTTCTCATTCTTAATTAATACATTACAAACTTTTTCTAATAATTTTCAGCTTTTTTTTTTATTTTTATCAAGATTATAAATTATATCCTCCAGCATAATCCGCCTCGTAGAAGTAGATAAATAGTGGCTAGAAAGTAGCTTGTGATAGCGATATTAAGAATAAAAAATAGTAGTAGTTAACTATTTTTGTAATTAACTAGCTATAGTCAACTGCATAAGAATTTTTTTTTAACCCCTGAGCCTATCATTATTATCCTTTAATCAGTCATACTCAAATCCATTTATTTAGTTAACAAGCTAATTATATTTCAAAGAAAACTCATTACTTTGGACGGCGTTTCAGGTTCCTTTCTATGGGGATAAGCTGTTCTCAGTTGATATTTGGTTGAAAGATTCTGTGGGTAGGAAGTTCTCCAACATCTCAACATTTGATATTAAATGGGAGGTGTCCGATGAATCAATAGCCAGTCCGAAAAGTGATTCTGGCGTGACCACTCATGAAAATGCTGTATCAGGATACCGGAAAGTTTCAAGAGGTAATCACAACTAAATGTCATTCAAAAAACTTATGTGTTTTTTTTTAAAACCCATATATCAATTTAAAGCCTATTCACATTACTTGAAACACAAAACACTCATTTACACATCAGTTCTAAGTTAATTCATATTACCTGAAACACTTTTGTTATTTCTGGAAAATTCCTAATTAACATATCCGTTATTTCGAATTTATCCATCAGTATTAAGCTAATTCATATTACCTGAAACACTTGTTATTTCTGGAAAATTCCTAATTCACAAATAAGTTATTACTTGAAGAATTTATCTATCAGTTCTAAGCTTATTCATATTACCTGAAAAGCTTCTATTTCTGGAAAATTCCTAATTTACATATCAGTTATTTCTTGAAGAATTTATCTATCAGTTTTAAGTCTATTCACATTTTTGAAACATACCATTCTAATGCCAGATATTTCTAGAAAAAATATGAATTCTAAAATTGATTATTTTACTTGAAACTTAATATTCAAATAAACTTTAAAAAAAAAATCAGTTCGAAGCTTATTATAATAACTTCGAACAAATCTGTTATTTCCAGAAAAACTCCCATATCAGTTCTAAGCCTATTTATATTGAAAAAAACAGAAACTACCATCAGTTAAAGTAATACATTGAAGTTTAAATTCCTAATGAAAAGTAAAATTTGTTTATGTTTAATATATTATTAAATTATAATTTTTGCTAATTGAGTAACTTTTTTTCTTCTTCTTTTTTTGAAAAAAGTGTTTTCCTTGAATGAAGGTTTTACTTAGGCGTTTACTTCAGCAATGCTAAAAGAAAGTTATTTATTTCTAGAATGTTTAACTATTAATAATAACAAGGATACAGCTATAAAATGACAGTTTTAGTAATTCTATACATAACTGAGGTTACATAAGAGGTAGGTATTTTATTTATGTCACACTAGAGCTGCATAATGGGCTATTGGTGACGATCTGAAAACACACCCGAGAATGATCAGAGGACATGCAACTGAGGTTAGAATAAATAAAAATTCAGAGTATATTTACGTAAATTGAGTTTATTTTATGATGGTTAACTCAAACTACTTTAGTCAGGTTGTCAAAAAAGATGGAATCAGATCTATAACTTTGTCGATAAATGAAATAAAGAAGGTAATATTTGTTAGATTTGCATTCTTTTCCCATCAGAATTTGAATAGAAAAAGGGAAGAAGCGTATATTTTTTTAAAAAGATTTATTTAAAAAAAAATACAATTTCTAATAAGGGATACAAAAAATTGGTACTCGGTACGTACTTTATTTACGTCGCACTAGAACTGCCCAATGGGCTATTGGCGACGGTGTGGGAAACATCCCTAAGGATAATCCGAAGTCATACCGTCACAATTTTGATCCTCTGCAGAGAGGATGGCTCTCCTGCTCTGTCAGTCCGACGACCTGCGCGAGAAGTCTAGCACTTTAAGGTAGAACAGTTTACCAAGGGCCGATACCGCACACTCTCAGTCCCTACGCAGGCTGATCAAAGTGGTAACCCACCCGCTTACTGACTACAGCCACTTTAGTGTTCTACTGAGAACCGCTCAGTCTCTGCAACAAAAAATTGAAATATGTTGGTAGAATAAAAAAGAAATGAAGAATGTGTAATTAATGAATATTATCATTTACAAAAAAAAAAAATGTGTAATGTTTTCATTTCAACTCTGACCTGAACTTCTGCAACAGTCTCACCATAAGAAACTGTTAACGCATTTTTTATACTATGACCAAATGTTTATAGATGGCTATGTATTTTGCAGATTTTCAAGAATTTAAAATGACGGGACAAACAGGAGATTTAAAAGTGACAGCTAAAATATCTGGCTATAAAGAAGATATATTGTCGAAATCAAACATTCCTCAAAATCTAATAAAAGTGAGTACTTTAAATTATGCGTCATTTCAATAAGTATAACTAAATTACTGCACTATTTGCGATGCGTTTTCTTTTTCAAATAATATGATTATAAAATTTATATTTTTAAAAAAAATTTAGTTTACAATTAAAATAATGTCAAAAGATGATTTTAGTAAGAATAACTATATCTGCATTATTTGTGAGCTGTTATCTTAATTATTGTGGCACTTATGTTAAAAGAAGTGCCCAAATCAGGTTATTAATATTAGCAGATATATTAAGTTTGTACTAGCTGGAATTAATGTTCTTTGAATGAACGCTTATATTACAAAATGTATCATAAGCTGCTTTAAAATTATTTTTGAAACTTTAAGGTGCAATAACGATCAACAGAAAAACGATAAGTTCTATTACTTGCACATCCTAACAACAAATAAATTTTCTTTTTACAATTTATTTTTGTTCTATTTTGTTTCTATTTCATGTGTTATTGTTTTGTTATCTAGGATTAATTTGGACATCTGTAGACAGTTAACAGTAATTAAAACTTAAATTATCTTAGTAGCTTTGACACCCCATAACAATTGATTGAAATAAGACTGATATGTTTTGTTATCCCGCAAATTATTTATTTATATATGGTTCAATTGCATATTTAATTTTTAAGCAATATTTCTACAAAAAAAAATTGCTTATGAGCAACAAAGTTGAAAAGATAATTTATTGCAAATTAAACAGACATGAAATTATTAATTTCATAACTGTGTATGGGATAATTAGCATTTGAACATCATATATTTATAAAAGTATGTTTATAAAATTAACAATGTTTTTTTTAAGAATATTTTAATTATTTTACATTAATATTTATTTTATTTAAATTTAATTACTTTTGTGTCCGTTTTAGGATTTTAAAGAAATTTCAAATTCCATTGACCTAAAACTTGTTAGCCTACGAGAGACCAATGCTGAACTATATTCGAATAGAGACCAAGAAAAACAGGTAAAACCTCACTACTGCAATTAAAAAAAGGTGTTATTTACATAATTTAGCAATATTCAAATTTAAAAAAATTTCCTCAAGGGTATAAATTGAAAAATCATAAAAATTAGGAAGTAAAAGCAAATTATCCTGCTAAGATGCGAGCTTTAAATAATTCAGAAAATGTAATTATTACATTTAAGTAAATACATAAACATGATAAAACTTTTTTTTTAAAATTCAGTTAATTAAAAACTCAACCTTTTTTAGACATTCTTATTTGTTATATCAAAAATTACAAATTTAATTTTTTAGCAATTTTTGTGGTCCGTGACTTCTTAAAAATTTTTAAAACGGGTCCATTATATCAAAAAGGTTAAGGAACACTGATTTAGAGGATCTGAAAACCAAATCCGTTTGGAAAAAAGGGAATGTTTCTTCAGAGAAAGTACGTTTTTATGTTTGATTTCGTAACTTCAAATATCATCTGCACTAATTATTTAGCATATTTTAGCTCACCTCCTCAAACCATTATGACTGAGTCCTAGAACGTGAAGATCCGAACACTAGATCAAAAGTTAATCAGCGTGGTCAGTTTATTTTTGTTCGCACTAATATGTGGTCGCAATTCTCTAGGATTAATGAATAAGTATTAAAATCGCATGGGAAAAGGGATAATTAAAAGGCAGAGCTACGAGTAAGCCCGAATTTTAAACTACATTAAGTTCAAGCAGATTACATAAATTATCCTCCAATCGATTTTTTTTCCTTTGAATTTACGGTTTAAAAAAACAATCGAGAAATTCGTACTTATATCTCTTAATTGGATTCAAGTTTAAAACACTGTTTTGTGATTATAAGTGTTGAAAATATAATTAAAAACCATTGAAAGAAAAGTTGGAAGTCATTTCGAAAACTTCAAATTTGCGGTTTTAAGGATAACTAAGGAAAACTATAAGGATTATAGGCAAGTAAGGTTCCAAAAATCTCAAACTTATGAGTTTAAGGACATGGAAAATTTGTGCTAAAAATCTCAAAGTTATGAGTTGAACATATTAAGCCGTGGTTTGAAAATCTTGAACTTACACAAAGAGCATGTTAGGTGATGTTCTCAAAAATTGAAATTTAGACGAAGAAAATGTCAGCAGGTATTTTGAAAACTTATGGCTTTTAAGTACGTGTTAAGGTAGGATATGTACTTTGAAATTATTTACTATGCTAAGTTTTTCTGGCGGTTAACAATTGTAAATAATAATTTATTTTTTTAAAAAAGATCTGATTTCATTAAAGTCAACTATATATATATATATTTCTAAAGGAGAAGAAAAAAATATTCACAAATTTAAGAGTATTTTTAAATTGAAAAAAAAAACGCAAAAAATAAAATAAAAATATGAGTAAACAGGGGTCTGTTTAGAAGAAATTT